TCTCTCCCTTTATTCTCCTCATCACTCGCGCTGCTCCTCCTGTTCTGCTGCGTGTCTGTTCTCTTCCTCGCGCAGACGGGCAGCAGCAGGGCTCGTTCAGCTGCGCAGGGCTGTGGTACTTGTATGTTACTTACTACCACAAGTATAATGTTGAGGTATGCCCAGAAAAAACGTTTATAGCCCCGGCCTGTATTAGAGACCGGCCATTATTTACCTCCTCTGACAGCGAGACCGGCCATTATTAGAGACCCGGCCGCTATTGGAATACAGGCCAATATTAGAGAATTTACGGTATTAAGGTTATTTTTATTTTTCTGAGGTGGCTGTGTTTTAAGGATTACATTCTAAATGAGTTTTTTCAGATTCCACCCCCTGCAGCTCTCGGTGGATTTCTATTGATCCGTGCGCAAAACCAATCATTAAAACAGGATTTAAAAAGAATCCGACCCATAAAGCTCAGTCTCTATCTCCAGAAAAAAATAAGACTTTGTAAAGATAAAATTTGGAAAAATCTGGAAAGAAAAGCAAATTTTAAATGTGTTGAACTTTTGCATAAATATTTAAAATTACTTTAAACCTTTTTTATTGAACAAATTTTCTTCAGATTTCCTTTTCTGAAAGGTTTTCTTTGCTTTTAATAATATTGGAGCACATTTCTCTCCATAAGTTAAGACCTGATCTGATCGTTACTTGGTTGAGCCACTAGATGGCAGCAGATCCCCGGCTGTTTTCTCCATCCATGTTTCTGTGTTTGGTGGCAGGAGACGGAGGAAATGACGTGAGCATGATCCAGGCTGCAGACTGTGGGATTGGGATCGAAGGAAAGGTGAAGCCCTCTGGGATTATAATCTGGGTTCATCTGGAGCTCAGATCTGGAGCTTTTGGGTTTTTTTTTGTGCAGGAAGGGAAGCAGGCGTCTCTGGCTGCAGACTTCTCCATCACCCAGTTCAAACACATCGGCCGCCTCCTCATGGTCCACGGCAGGAACAGCTACAAGCGCTCGGCGGCCCTCGGCCAGTTCGTGATGCACCGCGGCATGATCATCTCCACCATGCAGGTACCGCAGCGGCTGGCTCTGCGCCTCCTCCTCCAGAATCCTCTCACCACCCTGCCTGTCGTTTCCTCCTCAGGCCGTCTTCTCCTCGGTCTTCTTCTTCGCCTCGGTTCCTCTGTACCAGGGCTTCCTCATGGTCGGGTACGTAAGCTTCTCCCGTCAGAACCAGAAACGTCTCGCCCCCCTCCGGTTCTGATGGCCTTCTGTCCTCTCAGGTACGCCACCATCTACACCATGTTCCCCGTCTTCTCCTTGGTTCTGGATCAGGACGTGAAGCCCGAGATGGCTCTGCTCTACCCAGAACTTTACAAGGACCTCACCAAGGTACCGGATCTGCTTGTCTCGCTGAGGTTCTGACGGCTGGCGGCCCGATTGACCGTTTCTGTCGATGTGTTTCAGGGCCGCTCCTTATCCTTCAAGACGTTCCTGATCTGGGTTCTGATCAGCATCTACCAAGGTGAGCCGTCTGCGTTTCTGACTGGAGCCGTTTGAACCGGGTCGCTGGTTGGGACCCAGAACCTCCTTCCTGTCTATTTTCTGTGGCTCCGCCCCCTCCTCCTCCAGCCCGTTTCTCAGTGTCTAAGGTTTCCAGCCGCCGTCCTCCTTCACATGCCATCTTTTGTTTGGGCCGTAAATCGATATCGGCGTCAGCGCTAAGCCGCTCGGTGTGTGAGAAAGATCCGTGTTCCTGCCGGAGCGTGACTTCCTGCCCGCTCCAGATCTTTAATTAAAAAAATTAAGCTGCTCTGCATGGAAACAAACGGGCGACAGGAGGGAATCCAGCTCGTTTTTACAGACGTTGACTCGCTGGAATCTGAATTCTGTCCATCAGAGCCATTATGTCATCAGTTAGGGTGTAATTAGGCTTCATTTGTGCGGCGATAAAAGGCTATCAGGATACAGTAGGCGTCCTGGGGGGGCGGCTCAGACGCTCCTTATCTTCGCCCTCGCTGCTCCATTCGGTTGGTTTCCCAGGGAACCGCTGGGTTTGATCATCAGGACCAAAACTAAACATCTCTGGATCAAGATCGAAGTCTTTAAAACGCCACAGATTCCTTTGTTTTGTTCGACCGGAACGTCTGCAGCGAGTAAAACTCAACGCTTCTGTTGATGAGTGTGGAAGAGAAACGGTCTCATTGGAATCTGCCTTTTTTTGCAAATTGAATTTTAAGCTCTGACTTTTTATCTGGTGGAAATTACCCTGCAAAAAATTCAACTGCACCTTTTGGTGAAGTCAGTAAATCTACTCTCCATGCAGTCGCACAGCTTCTAGCCAATGAAATGAGCTCATTTGGTCTGGAAAACTAAAAGTTTCTTCCGGATCAAACCAAGAGCCTTGGCAGACGGGGGTGCAGCACTAGCTGTGATCGGCTCAGTTATTTCACAAAAACTCTAATGGCTGTCAGTTAGCAGCTAGCTGACGTTTTTTAATCATTCACTACCCCATCCGTTCAGATATACATCCGGGTGCCCTTAAATAATGTAATCCTGGTCCTAAAATTACTTATTTCTATCCTAAACTCGATAAAGAATGCTAATCTCTAAAAAATGTGAGACAATTTGGTGCTTTTTCCATTTTCTTCGTTAAACTGCTTCTCTGATGTCATCATGGGTCGTGAACAGAGCAGTAAATCTGATTAAACCATTTTTATCTGCATTTTTCTTGTTTCTTTCTTTAGTTTACACACCATATAGCATAATGTTAACATGAAAGGAAAACATCAAACTCTAAAAGACGAGCATAGAATCCCATTCGTACAACAACCAGTAAGGTTTGCTATTTATTAGATTCATTTTTTTTCCTGTTTTAGTTTCTAAATGTTTTTTCTACATTTATTTTCAAAAAATTTTCTACTTTTTTCTTGATTTTATTTTTCCATGGAGATTTCTTTCCAATTCAGATTTTATTTCCATTTTATTTGAGATATTATTTTGAGAAATATTTCAACATTTTTTCTTTTTTTTTATTACGTTTGAATATTTTTTCACTTTTCAGATATTTTTATTTTTGAGTTTTTGAGGTATAAATAAACACTGCTTATTTATACATGTGTGTCCCATAGACATTACATACGTAGACGACTCATTGGACGCAGGCCGGCGTGCCTAGAGGGCGGCCATCTTGGATCAGACCACAGTTCAGACAGCTACTTTCAGAATGAACAGGAGGCGCCTCAGATCTCATTTTAATCACATGAAAGACGAGTCAGAGATGATATTACAATAATCGCTGACATCTTACAACCACTTAAACGACCAAAACTAATTCTACAATTAACTTTAAATTAGATTACACACATTTACAACAACTTTTAGTTAGACACAAGATAAATTTACCATTCTCTACAATTTGACCAACAAGTTTTGACCATGACAAATAAATAAAAATTAACATAAAATAAATTTAAAAAAACAAAATAATAACTTTTCTCTTAGTAAATCTGATTAAAACATGTTTATCTGCATTTTTCTAGTTTTTTTCTTTAGTTTACACACCATATAGCATAATGTTAACATGAAAGGAAAACATCAAACTCAAAAAGACGAGCATAGAATCCCATTTGTACAACAACCAGTAAGGTTTGCTATTTATTAGATTTAATTTTTTTCCTGTTTTAGTTTCTAAATGTTTTTTCAAATTTTTTTTTCTACATTTATTTTCAAAAAATTTTCTACTTTTTTCTTGATTTTTTTTTTCCATGGATATTTCTTTCTAATTCAGATTTTATTTCCATTTTATTTGAGATAAAAAAAAAAATATTTCAATATTTTTTCCTTTTTTTATTACGTTTGAATATTTGTTCACTTTTCAGATATTTTTATTTTTGAGTTTTTGAGGTAGCAGTGGCTCGTTTTTCATGGACAGTAGGCTGACGAGAGGGGGACAAAGACCCACAGGTCGAATTCGAACCCAGGTCGGCTGCGTCGAGGTCTAATGCCTCCTTACATGGGTCGTGGGCGCTAACCACTGCGCCACCAAAGCACACCTGGACATTTTTTACAAAAATGTTTTTTTTCCAAATAATTTTTTACTTATTTTATTTCAGCTTCGTATTTTTCCGGGGTGGCTGGGTTTGAAGGATAACAAACTAAATCTTGTTTTGCAGATTTTATCCTCCGCAGCTCTCGGTGGAACAGGATTTCTACTGATCCAATTTGTAAAATAAGATTTAAAAAGAATCCAAAAAATTCTGTCTCGATCTCCAAAAAATAAGCTTTGGAAACATTAACATTTTCAGGGTTCCTGCGGGTCCTTAAAAAGTCTTAAGGCATTGAATTCTTCAAAATAAAATTAAGGCCTTAATTGGTATTAAAATGTCTTAAATCAGTCTTTCGTAGGCCTTAATTTTTAAAACATCATAAATAGGATAATTGTTATAACGATTTATTTTTGTAATCTAAATAAAACGTTAAAATTTACAATTTTTTTTTTCTTTTTATAAAAAAAAAAATAAATAACAGCTCTCCATCATTGGTTCCGTCCCGATAGCGGAACCAATAAAGCGTTGTTGCTGCCGGGACATTTGGGAGATGAACCATTAACTTTTTGTCTGGAAAATCTGAGCAAGTGTAAATGTAACCAAAATTGTCTCCAGCCAAGAGTTTTCTCCATGGCTAAAACCAGGGAACATACATGAGGCTCAGTGGATTTATGCAAGAAGTCAGTCAAGCTCAGAACGATGGGAATTAAGGCAGTGGAGTCGCATGCGAAGCACAAAACACAAAGAGTCAAAATCGAGTTACAGAGAAACAGCCGGTATTTCTCGGTCAAAACAAAGTTTGTTAATTCAGTTAAATAATTGTTAAGTTTTTATCTGTCATTTGTGTGTTTTTAGCTTTCTTCTTGTATGGGAAGCTTTTCAAAATTTGAAACATTAGTGCAGTGGTTTATGCTAAAATAAACCTTTGGGTTAAGTT